TTGCTTTGCAATTGCTAGCATCCTTTTTTTCTTTAAATAATTCAAGCATTTCAAACTGGACGAAAACTTAGGGAGTCACCTAATGCACATCCACAAGTACTGTACCATTTAACTGCCCCTATGATTTGAAGACTTTTTTCACCTGTAGCTAACTTAAAGCCCAGTTTGCAAAATACAGCACTGAAGAACATACACTTCCTTTTTCAGAAGTGTTTTGTGAATGAGGACAGGAAGACCTTAAGAAACAAATCCCAGAATATTGTAGATCCAAGCTGGAGTGGGGAAATGTTCTGTCATGTTTGCCAACGGCCTGGTCATGTGAGTTTACATGTAGGCAGTAAAATATGTCAACAAGAAGAGAGCCCTGAGGTATTTGAAACTTATGCCAGGTTTTTGTTTTAAAACTAGAGTAGGCAATTGATGGATATGATTTTGTTGAATAAAGCGGGCCATAGAGGATTTTTCACTCATATATCTCACCTGTAAGTACTTTTGCTGGTAAGTCCTTTTAAGAGATTATGTCTAACAAATGTGTGTTGATATAATCCAAATTGGGGCAGGGGCCTTTAACAGTCTCTGAGGCTAAAGTCCTATTGCACTGGAATAAATCCCTTTGACTCAAAGTGGTACTTGTTTCTGAGTAAATATACCTAGGGTTGCACTGTACAGAAAAGAGACTGAAATAGTGAAACACCAGGAGCTTCTCAAAATTTGAAATGCTACTCAATGCCTCAGAAACAGGTAGAGATGAGACAAAATTCTTCTGTATAAAGTACTCCCTAAGATTATATATTGGAAGCAGAATGGCTTTGAATACCAGTTGCTGGAAAATGCAGGCAAGGTGAATGTTGTGGACTTTCAATGGGCATGAGGTTGGCCACTGTGAGAACAAGATGCTGGACTAGATGGGCCATTGCCCTGATTCAGCAAGCTCTCTTTACGTTCTTATATAGGTCCTAGGTTATTTAGAGCTTTTAGAATTAGAATAATGACATGAACACAGTACTGATGCTTCAATAAAGGGCTTGTATGTCTGTTGTAACCTAGTCCTGCCAAGATATGGGCCACTGAATTTTCTGTAGCACCAGCTTCCAAATTTTCTTTAAGGCAGTATCCACTGTAGCTTCCACTCTAGAATTATGTTCTTTTAACCTTATGGAACGAGATGATCTTGCAAGCTACTCGCATTACGATGCATTTATTAACGCTTCAATACTCTGTATGAAGGGCACTTCACATTGGCTGCTGATTTCCTATGAAGTTTTAAAGTGGTCTTCCCAAATTAGCAAAAGAGAATTTCATTGATTTGAAGAATATTGTATTGTTTCTGGGACAAAACACTTGACCTTTAAACTTTTGTGCTTTTATCTTGTGCACTGCTTTGAAATCTTCAGATTAAGAGTGGTATATAAATTTAATAAGGGATGCGGGTGGCGCTGTGGGTTAAACCACAGAGCCTAGGACTTGCCGATCAGAAGGTCATCAGTTCGAATCCCCATGACGGGGTGAGCTCCCATTGCTCGGTCCCTGCTCCTGCCAACCTAGCAGTTCGAAAGCACACCAAAGTGCAAGTAGATAAATAGGTACTACTCCGGCGGGAAGGTAAACAGCGTTTCCGTGTGCTGCTCTGGTTCGCCAGTAAGCGGCTTAGTCATGGTGGCCACATGACCTGGAAGCTGTACGTCGGCTCCCTCGGCCAATAAAGCGAGATGAGCGCCGCAACCCCAGAGTCAGGGGTCAGGGGTCCCTTTACCTTTACCTTATAAATTTAATAAAAAACTAAATTTGTTGTTGTTCAATGATTGCCCCCTTCCACAAAAGACCCCACCATGCTTGTAGCAACAGACACAGGATGACCTGAGAATTATCCCTTGTTAGCAAAGGTAATTTATGGGAAGTGGGTGGCTAGATGCAGCATGCGTGGATCTATACTGAAATAAGCCTCCTGACGCACAAATGGGTGTTGCCGGCAGTTTTATCAAAATTAACATTTCAAACTAGCAAACAGATCAAAGAAAACAGATGTCACAACTTATAAATAGATGATAATGCCATACACAAACCAGGAAGGTGTGCGGCGGGGGGGGGGGGCAGCCAGGCAAACAAAGTAGCACCTGCCTGAACAAAGAAATTTAATACAATGAAGCATGCTACCTGGTCTCTTGATTACATCAGATCTCGGTGGATGTTATGAACAAAAAGAAATGACCAGAACGTGAATACAGTGGATGACGTGCGTTATCTCATTGGAATTTGCTGCCCTTAAGAGAACAAGGGAAATTCCCCAGAGAAGACAATAAAATATACAACATAAGTCTCTTATACACAAGCTATTAGCCAATGAAATGAAATAAAAAATACCAGTTTTATTCAATTGGTGCTCTTTCACAAGGGCTTCAAGAGGCATCCACTTATGGTGGAAAGTGATTTTTTTTTTACCAATTCCCACTCATTTCTGCAGCTCCCAACACCCCCAAAAACTGATGGGTGCTGCTGCTGCAGGTGGAATCAGCAAATGCCTCTCTTCCTACTAGCAGAACCAATTGGATTCCTCCCTGTATCAGAGGGGAAAGCTTGAGGATAACTGATTATGTTCAGAGTATTGCTATTCTTTCACCGGAATGAGAAAACAAAACAAAATAGCTCAACAGGAAGATACATTACACTGTGTGTGTGTGTGTGTGTGTGTGTGTGTGTGTGTATATATATATATATATATATATATATATATATATACAATATATTGATCAACTACTGTACAGTAAATACTTAACTACTGTTATTTAGGCCTAAACAAATGTCTGAATAAAACTTATCTTAAAAGCACAGAAGCAAGGATTAGTAAAAAACAATAAATTTTCTGAGGAGAACATGTCTCCTGTATTGTATGATGCTGTGAAAATGCTCTTTGGATATGCAAAATTGTCATCCCTAGTTTTTTAAAAAATATATATTTTAAACTTGCTGATAGACCTCGTCAACAGCATTTAATATCTGGGGTTTTTCCCCAAGCTGCTGGAATTGTGCTCCTTGACCAATTATAGGACTTAAACGAAACCAGCTAAAAATGCTTGAAATCAAGCAACTTTGGTACTGATTGCTGCTTTTGGTAACTTTATTTTTTGCTACCTTCTGCAGCTATGTTATCTTGTGGTTTTGGTCTCAGTTAATTTTTGTCTTGGCATTTTGTCTTGGCATCAGATATCTAATTGCCTTAAATTTGTATCTAACATATAAAAGCAATATATAATTTAAAAATAAAACAAAAAGTTATCACAGAGGTAGTACATTTGTGCCTGAGCTGCAGGACTTCAGACTACAGGGAGTTTTGCCCGACTGCATGGTCCTCCATACAATTTCCTGCACAGAAAACTCTATGGGCCTGAGGCAGGTTCTAGCATAGCGTTCTTAATATCATGTCACTCTTTTATGGGTAGGCGTGGTGGCACTCCTGATCAGGCCAGTTCCGCCTATAGTTTGACGTGGTACGGCCCACCTTCCTCCCTTCAGTGAGAACTAGGCCTTAGTGTTTTTAAGTCCTAAGCTGTGTTTGCTGACCCCTAAAAGCAAGGTCTGCAAAACAGGTTTCTGCTTTTCAGGTTCCCATGCCTCTCCCCTCAAACACTGTCTAGCAAGAGACCAATACAGTAATCTTTTCTCCAGCAACAGCCCATTTTAATTGTGGTCTGATCATAATAGCGTGTGCAAACGGCCGGAATTAGGTTTGATGAGGCCCTAAGCTACTGAAGGTAATGGGCCCGTTATATGTCCAGCTGTCCTTTGTCAACAACAAATTGTCAGTTTTTTGTGTTGAATATGTGCTATACTGTATGGTAATTTATGGACCTAATAGGTCCATATACAACACAAAACACTGTTGCTGTATGTAGGTTTTATTTTGTTTTTTTATCTTATATTTTGGAAATGTACATCCAGGGTTTTTTTTCCTTTGAATATTGGGGGCCCCCAAGAGAGTGGGGTCCTAAGCTATAGCTTGTTTAGCTTTATCCGTAAATCCAGCACTGTTGAGTGTGTGTGTGTGAGAGAGAGAGCATGCGCGCCTGAATGGGAGAATGCCTGTTTTGACACTATCGATAAACCTTTATTTACAGTGGTACCTCGGGTTAAGTACTTAATTCGTTCCGGAAGTCCGTTCTTAACCTGAAACTGTTCTTAACCTGAAGCACCACTTTAGCTAATGGGGCCTCCCGCTGCCAGAGCACGATTTCTGTTCTCATCCTGAAGCAAAGTTCTTAACCCAAGGTACTATTTCTGGGTTAGCAGGTTACCTGAGTGTCTGTAACCTGAAGCGTATGTAACCCGAGGTACCACTGTATTTTTATTTCTCGGTCATCTATGCCATCCCTCTGTGGGGGAAAAACACCTTTATTATGAGTGGGGAAAGTAGAGGGAGCTTCTCCTCCTGGGGGGTGGGGTGGCGGCCATCTATCTTGTTATCAGACTCCAACTACCATCAGCCCCAGCCAGCATGATCAGTGGTCAGAGATGCTGGGAGTCGCAGTCCAGCAACATCCGGGGGGCTCCACCCAGGAGCCCCCACAACCAAAACCTACGTTTCTTCCTTTTGAAGTCGGCAGCTGTGATGTGCGCACTTGGCCACTTCTCCCAGCTCTATCGCAAAACAGCCCCGCCTGAGAGCAGCATTAAGCCTGCGTGGGCGAGGGCGACGGGCCGGTCTGGGTTGGGCTGCTTCTTGCTGGAGTTTCGCTCCAGCTCCCACAGGATTGAAAAGAGGGCGGCGGGGCGGGGGAGGGCGAAGAAACAGGGGAGGAGAAAGAAAGGACACCAGCAGCACTTGGAGAACTCAGGCGGAGTTTGCCGCGCGCTTCCCCGTCTCCTGCAGGGGGCACAGCAGCGGCGGCGGCCCAGAAGCGCCTCGCAACCAGCGCGCCAGCCGAGCGCCGCCCGGGCCGCTTCCCCACTTGGGCGCTGCTCCGAGCACGTGGAGGTGGAGCCGGCGGCGCGCGCGCGCGAGAGAGGCTGGCCCGGGCCAAAGGGGGCGGAGCCGGGGCTGCCAGCTCCCGATGGGAGCCTGGAAAGGGGGAAGCCCGCGCGCTCAGGGGCAGCAGCGAGAGCGGAGCAGGCGGAGCGGCGCTCGCTTTGCCTTGCTGGATTTGGGGATCTCCGGCTGGGCAGGGGGGGAGGGGGCGGAGAGAGAGAGAGAGAGAAGCCTGGATTCTCCTCGCCAAGGGGGGGTTCAGAGCGCTGCATCGAGGAGGAGGATGGAGCCTGTGACCAAGTGGAGCCCTAAGCAAGTAGTGGAGTGGACGAAGGGTAAGGAACGGGGCTCCGGCTGCTCCTCCAGCCTGGATCTGCGGGAGAGGCACGCTGCTCTCTTTCACCCCCCTGCGCAGTGTTTGCTCTTCTTCGCTTCTCTTCCTCCTCCTCCTCTCAAACTTTTCCTCTTAACTTGGGGGGTCCTCAATCCCTGCCCCCTTCACCTCGTTCTCCCGCCTTTAAACTCCTCTCCTGCCCCCTTTATTTCAAGCTGCTTCCTCAGGAGGGATCATACCTGCAATTAGCTGCCGCTCTTAATCCGAAAAGTGCTTGGCGGGCTCTAGTCCCCGGCTGTTAGCAACACACACAAACACACACGGCTTTCAGGAGCCCAACGCAGCCACTCGCGTGTCAACAAACGAGCCTCTGCCGCGGCCCTGGGCATGTTTTTGCAGCCTGGGCTGGGAGAGGGCTCCGCATTCGGCGCTTCCCCCCCCTCCTGCCGGACTTACACGGGGTGTGTTGCGTTCACACAAACACAGAGCAAGCTCCTTTAAGTATTCCCGGCGAGGCTGCTTGAAGAGCCAGGTTACCTCAGGGAAGAGGAACAGTGATAAATTCTGCTCTTTAAAGAGGAAGACGCCCTTGTGACCGATTTGGGAATGTCGTGTGAATCTCTGCTTGAACAGAAGCCGAGTTAAAGACGCTAAGGTCTTCTACGCACAATAATTGGTGTAAATAAATAAAGCCTCCAAATGCCCGGCACTCCACAGGTTGCCTTCTGAACAGATGGGCTCGTTAGTGGCTGACTTTATTTATACAAGGCAGTGTATGGATTGCTATCGCTTAATATAGCAAGACTCTCTGCACACACACTTCCTTGGATGTACCGGTGAACAAACACGGATAGGGCTGTGCTACAGCAATCCAGCTCCACTTATTTTCTCGCGAGGGACTAGGAGTGCAACCTAAGAGTCCATTATATAGTTGGCACCCTCTGAATGCCCAAACATTCCTAGCAGACGAAACCTTTTCAGTAATGTGAAGTCTGAGACTGTCTGCTTAGGTTATAGGGTGCTACAAGTTGGCCGGAGGGCTTCTTTAAGGTTTCCCCTGCTTTCATGATAGGCTGCACACTTTACCAGCTTAAAATGCAACTACGTCATTCTTTTTCTCAATTTGGATCCAAGCTGGCTTGAGGAAAAACTCGTCAAAATGCAGTGTTAGATAAGAAATCATAAGATTGATACAGGAGAGATTAGGCTTGTGGCTACTATGTGCACATTGCTTCCCAAACCATTGGTGGGAATACACTGGACGCACAACAAATGTGCGCACAGCAGAAGTTTTTTCCCCCTCTGCCAACTTGGCTTCTGGTGTTTTGTTTCAGAGTGCTCAGTTACTTCCTATAAATTACCATAGTTGGTGTGATGGTATGACACTGGTTTCACCTTCCCTTTTATACCTGCTCTTAAATATACTCGGTGCAAATTAGGTTCTCCCAACTCACTGGATTTCCCATTTTGGCAGTTTTAAATGGTGGATTTCCCCCTGTCCCCCACCCCCCTGTCCAATATATATATTTATATGTAATAGGAGACTGCAGTTATGGGCTCCCAGAATCATCACTGGCTGATTAATCTGGTCTAGAAGGGTGTGCAGGGTATTATTTGATCAATAAGTTTATTTCACTAGCCAAATGCTATGGTAATTAACTTGAAGAAAAGTTGTTAGAATATGAAGACTTGTGTCAGAGGAAATGTAGGGATGTGTGTGTGTTAATCTGTTTAGAGATCTCTTACTGAGAAGGGGCCATTCTCTGTTATTCTTTCCACTAGTTTCTCATGGTTTTATTTTCCTGTCTTGACTCAAGTGCCTGGATATCAGTGCAGCTAAAGCCTCATTCACAGAAAGATGTTTTTGATCCAGAGACCTTTTTACCTTGTGTGTGAAACTGAACTTTATCCCTTCATTCTATCCTTTTTGCTAGTTTACATGTTTCCTGCTTTTGCATCATCTAGTAAAGAAGGATGAGTGGGAGCTCCTAATAATCTATTTCAATTGACATTGACTTTCAAGCTATGAATAACAGATTGATTTGGTTTGGTTCTTCCTCTGTGAATGGCTAATTTGCTGCTGAAAACTTTTTTTTAAAAAAAGATCTCTTAGCAAATCTTAGAAATATACTCTCTAAGTATGGCAGTCAAATGAAGATCTGATTACTACAGTCTCGCATTTGAATTGGTATTTTCTCCTTGGCTGAGATAATGCTTTGTTCAGGGAAGCAGCTACCTTTGCATGTTCAGTATCCTGATACTGATTGGATTGTATCCAGCTTGACATTTAAAAGTGGCAGCATTCAGATTAATTTCATGGACCCAGTGAAAATGGTGTCCAGGTTGGAAATTATCCATGCAGCTCATTGGGAAGGGGTAACCAATGTGTTAGGGACGCGGGTGACTCTGTGGGTAAAACCACAGTGCCTAGGACTTGCCGATCGCATGGTCGGCGGTTCGAATCCCCGCGCGACGGGGTGAGCTCCTGTCTTTTGGTCCCAGCTCCTGCCCACCTAGCAGTTCGAAAGCACCCCTAAGTGCAAGTAGATAAATAGGTACCGCTTTATAGCGGGAAGGTAAACGGCGTTTCCGTGTGCTGCGCTGGTGCTGGCTCGCCAGAGCAGCTTCGTCACGCTGGCCACGTGACCCGGAAGTGTCTCCGGACAGTGCTGGCCCCCGGCCTCTTAAGTGAGATGGGCGCACAACCCTAGAGTCGGACACGACTGGCCCGTATGGGCAGCGGTACCTTAACCTTTACTTTAACCAATGTGTTGCCCTCCAGATGTTATGGACAACAATTAACACCAGCCCAAGCTAGCATGGCAAGTGGTCAGGCATGATGGGAGTTGTAGTCCAGCCACATCTGGAGGACACCATGTTGGCCACCTCTGTCATAGAGAGTACTGTTGCTGTGAAGACTGAAACATTAGTTGTACATGCTTTCTAAATTTTTGCAAAGTCAGAAGCCATTGTTTTGCAACTCAGAAGGCTGAATATGCAAGTTAACTGTAGGCATGAATTATGCAAATGTTACTGATCCATTAAGATTGTGTGAGCTATTATACAAGAGCTGCAGCCCAAACTAGTTAAGAGAGATTCCGTCCTGGAGAGTTCATTAGTAGAAAGGACCCATGGAAGACTGCCTTTGAGAGCTAGTATGTTGTTTAGTGCCTGAAAATGGAACCATGACAGTTCCCAGTTCAAATCTCACCAAATGTAGAAGCCTGTTCTTTCAGATTTAGTGCTTCACCATTTATTTTAGCTGAGCTTCTCCTAATTAATCAAGGCCTGGCCTTGCCACAGTGAGTGGTTTTAACTTTCTGTTGGATGTGTGGTGCTTTGAACAGGAGGGATTTGCTTCTTAGAGAATTCATTTTTTCCCTGTGCTCTCAGTGTGAAATTTGACCTCTCAGCTGAACATCAGAAGGTTCCCTAATGCTACCTCCTGCCTGATGAGTTTGTAATAAGGCAGTGGGCTGTAAAGAAGGAAACTCTTCATGGGCACGTGCTAATCTGTTTCATTGCTTTTGGACAGCACAGATGTCATTTAAAAGCATGTAAGTAGCTCAATAATCACTTTGGTGTTAAGTTTCATTTTTAATCCATAGCCAAGAAAAATTGCCTTTTTTGGCAGTGCTCTACTAGGCTGTTATTTCCAACCAAATTTCTACATTTTAATCATGTTATTTCTGCTGCCCTGGAGAGGGAGGGCAAGGAGGAAGAATATAATTTTTTTAAAAAGAGCTTGACAAAATCTATCATTCTAGGCATTATTGCTCCTAGTCAAACAATAACTTGAAATAGTATTTGAGAGCTGAAAAGTCCCTATTTTGGCGTGGGGGCGGTGGGATGATATAACTTCTATTGATCGTTGTGGTATGCTATTCTTTGTATGGTATGCTCTTCTGAAGAAATTCCTTCAGTGAAGCTCAAATAGGAGCTAGTAGCTATCAAATTTATTTGTAGTAACACTTCCTTTGTTCAGAAGATTGCATCTATGGATAGTGAAAACCCAAGTCAGACATCAGAGGGTGGCATTTCATTGACACATAGAGTTGAAGGCAACCTCAAAGACGATCTAGTCTAGTCTGTTGCCAGTGTAGGACATGCACTCCTACTGCAGCATCCTTGATAAATAGCCAACTAGCCTCTGCTTGGGACATGGATGGCGCTGTGGTCTAAACCACTGAGCCTAGGGCTTGCCGATCGGAAGGTCGGTGGTTTGAATCCCTGCAAAGGAGTGAGCTGCTGTTGCTCGGTCCCAGCTCCTGCCCACCTAGCAGTTTGAAAGCACGCCAAAAAAGTGCAAGTAGATAAATAGGTACCGCTCTGGCGGGAAGGTAAATGGCATTTCTGTGCGCTGCTCTGGTTTAGCCAGAAGCGGCTTAGTCATGCTGGCCATACGACCTGGAAAAACTGTCTGTGGACAAATGCCGGCTCCCTTGGCCAGTAAAGCGAGATGAGCGCTGCAACCCCAGAGTCGTTTGCAACTGGACTTAACTGTCAGGGGTCCTTTACCTTTACCTTTACCTTTAGCCACTGCTTAAAAAGCCTTTGACATCCACCACCTTCTAAGGCAGCTTGTTCCGTTTGGTCTCATTCCAGGTCCCAGTGAATGAAAGCAAAAGGAAAGCCTTTGAGGCCCACAGTTGTACCCAGGAATCCTATAATGCCTATGATCAATGGTTCTGAAAGACAATGCAGGCACTGTTTAATAAGTTAAGGAGGATCCATATCCACCTATATTGTGCTTCTAGTATTGCGCTAAGACAGAGGAGGGTGGGATAAATTGGCATATCCCCCACCCCCCATTAAACCACTTGTACATTTATGCACAATCTGATAGGAATGAGAGCATGACAGGGAGGCATTTTCTGAATGTTCTCAGGCTCATTTCGCACTTTTGAGGATATTTTTTTTTTATTTGTGGGGGCGTTTCTAGGTATGCAATGGTATACACATGTTGTTTAATTAACACTGTATGACAATCAAAATGTTTTA